AGCAGTGTGGGGGTTGGACTGGAATGGGAAATGTTGAACTTACTTGAGTAGGCCATAATATACTACAAATGAAGAAAGAGATGCAGAGTGAAGAAGTCATCAAAGAAACAAGTGAAAAAAGATAACCTTGTTATATGATGAGAGAGACAGAGAGCCTGAGTGCTTCATGTGATGTCAAGCAAACAAGGAAGGCATCTAGCATACTGGGTGTACCTTCTATGAGGAATTTATGGGAGGGAACAGACAATAGCTGTATGGAATAGACCGGCCCCGAGGGACTTGCTACACTTACAATGCTGAAAGCAATATTTATATCGATGAGGTCACGGATCCAAATGTCTATGACTATGCACATGTTAAATTATTGCATGATTATCCCAAGAAAGTCTTTAGAGTCTTCCCCTAAAACTGTCTTTCTACACACTCCTGTACAAAGAAGTGTTAATAATTTACATTAGAGTTCAAAATCTGAAAAGGTAATTTCATTATTTTCTTTGAGATGTATATTCTGAGAACATGATCAAAAAATACATTTTTGTATTAACTGCCTCGGGTTCATCTGTAACAATGTGTATCACCAGGAAACATCGTAGAAATTACCATTTATTTTCTGGATTTTATAAAACATTTAGCATATCAAGAGTGTTAATCCATAAAGGAGTTACTCAGATAAAAGCATATTCTCAGGAGATCCTAAAGAAAATAACACCTATTTGTCCCAAACTGATTTAGTTGAAGCCCCTTCAGAAACAAGTCTATGATCCAGATCCCAAGAACTACATTCTACGCTTTTATTTTAAAACATCAAAATGACTTAGGTTTGACCGAGATTTATAAGATGCTTCAACAGATCCACGGTGCTTGAAAAACGTGCCACCTAATAGCACTGGACCTTTGGTAAGTCACTTAACCTCTCTCAGCCTCAGTTTCTTTATCTGTAAAATTTAGATAGACTGGCTCTCTCTCAAGGGCCCTACCAGCTTTAGATATAGAAGTCTATGTCCTTGGTAAGAGTACTCCCTCTACTTCTATAGTTAACATCTTTTTGTAAGGCAGGCAGGCAGTCAGTCAACTGATCAGCATTTATTAAGTGCCTACTACGCGCCAACTGTTGAAGATACAAAAAAAGCCACAAAAAACCAAAGCAAAACAAAAATAGTCCCTCATCTCAAGGAGCTCACTTACTGAGTTAGAGATTCCTCCAGGAACTGCTTAATGAGTTACAAACCTTCCTCTGATTCTTTTGATATTTCGTGGATACTCAAGGCCATCTGCTTTACTAGTCATACATCCTTGTCACTTCTTGCTAGTAAGTCAACAGTGGTAAAATTCTACATGCTGCTTACGCTCAGGATGTGTCTGTTAGCTTTTGGGACGCTTGCAATTGAAACTTCATTGTGATTTTGGTGGTCCATAATTTGTTGTAATAGAATATTACCAGGAGAATAGTGTAGTCAGAAGCATTAGCTTTTGGGGTAGCAAGCACTTTAGGACCATTAATGTCCTTTGTTACTGCCTTAGTGGGATACTACTATTCAATTCTGGGCCCACGTTGAATTTAATCTCCACTTATCTGTACAAGATGTAGGTGCTGATGTAATGGAATACTTACTGTTCCATAAGAAATGATGAGCAGGCAGACTTCAGAAAAACCTGGAAAGACTTGCATGAACTGATGCTGAGTGAAGTGAGCAGAACCAAGAGAACATTGTATACAGTAACAGCCATACTGTGTGAGACCTAGCTCTTCTCAGCAATGAAGGATCTAAGACAACTTCAAAAGACTCATGACGGAAAATGCTATCCATATCCAGAGAAAGAACTATGGAGTCTGAATGCAGATCAAAGCATACTATTTGCTCTCTTTTTGTTGTTTTTTTCTTTCTCATGGTTTTTCTCTTTGGTTCTAATTTTTCTTTACAACATGACTAATGTGGAAATACGTTCAATATGATTGTATATGTATGGCCTATATCAGATTGCATGCTGTCTTGGGGAGGCGGAAAGGAAGGAGGGTGAGAAAACTTAAAACTCAAAATCTTATAAAAGTGAATGTTGAAAACCAAAAACAAATAAATTTTTAAAAAATGATGTAGGTGCTGATACTCTATGGTCACCTTTAATCTAACAGCATGTCATAATCTAGGCCATATTTATTTTTTACCCACTTTATTTTTTCTGGGTAACCAGGCTCATTTATTGAGTAACTGTGGAGGTAAATGAGAAGGATCTGGTTTGATGCAATCATCAAGATGTCATGGTCAAGGCAGTACTCCCCTTCATTCAATGTAGGTCGCTCCCTTCATTCAATGTAGGTCGCTCCCTTCCTCCGGCAGTAATTTATTCCCTCTATCACTCAAAAAACTTAAGACAACTACTTAAAACATGAAACAATAAGGAATGCCTCTATTATCTTAACCTGGGAAAGTAAAGATTCTTGAGACTTTTGGGACCCAGCATCAAAAACAGCACATACTAAGTGCTGACGTGGGCTTTGTACACAACTCACAAGCCCAGCTCTTCCGGTAAGCAGGGCCTGGTGGGGGCTTTCTACATCCTCTTGTCTGTCTATGGTAACTTCCTGGTGAGGTCACCTTTTCTTCTCCAAGAAGTTGTTGTGAAAAATCATCTCCTGCTAGGCAACAAGCTCCCTGACTTAGATGCCTTGAACTCTCAGGGTCACAAAAGAGCTGCTAAGATGCAGTGGATAGAGAGCTGGGCCTGGAGGCAGGAAGGACTGAGTTCAGATCTAGCATCAGACACTTACCAGTTGTGTGACTCTGGGCAAGTCACTTAACCTCTGTCTAACTCAGTTTCTTCAACTGTAAAATGGAGATGACAAAAGCACCCACCTCCCAGGGTTGTTGGGAGGATCAAATGAGATATTTATAAAGCGTTTAACATACTGTCTGGCAACATAGTAGATGCTATATGTGTTACTTATTATTATTATTATTACTACCACCACCTGGGATAAGGGAAAGAAAAGCAGAAGAGGCAGTCAGTCAGGGACTCCTGGTTCAGTCTCATGTTCATCTAGGCAAGCACACATTCTCTCTCCCACGTGTGCAGTCACCAGTGGTGCCAGGAGTGAAGGGAGACAGATCCCTTTTCATCTCCTCTCTGTTGGACATATAAGGCAAAGTCTGGCTCTCAGGCCCAAATAACATACTTCAAAAAGAAAAGGGGAAAGTTAGAACCTCTCTTTCATTTTGTTTTTGTATAAGATGGTTTCCATGATGATGCTGCATGTTATTAGTGAATACGTCTCTGTTTGATACCCTATTTGATAACAAACAAAGTCATTTCCATGACTGCATCTCTTACAATGCACAATGTAATCTTGTATGATCATATATGCACAGAAGGCATGTTGTTTGAGAATGGCTTTTAAGGTTGTGTAACGCTTTCTCCAGTTGTATAATTTCTTGTAATCAACCACAGAACAATGGGATCTTATATTCTTTACAGAGATCCATATTGAAGATTTGATCTGCTATAGAAAATTATTTGTGAATGCCTTGCTTTTCCTATTTCATCTTTCCAAACATTAAAGCACTATATTAATACTATTATTCATCAAGTAAACACCTTTTCTTAAAGACTGAATAAAGGTGTAGGTTAGTAAGCGTAGATGTGTTTTTGGTAACTCTTTTGGGAAAATAACAACTCACATTTATATAACACTTCAATATTTGCAAAGCCTTTTACTTGAAAAACCTGTGAAGTAGTTGCAAGTATTCTAATCATTTTACAAATAAGGAAGCTGAGGTTGATTTGTCATCAACATATAACTGATTCGATTCAAATCCTCAAGTCTCCTGGGGAAAGTTGAGAACTCTTTCCACTATGCAATGCTGCTAGGTAAGATCCACTTGAGAGAAAGAAATGAAGGAACACTCCTCTACTTTTCAGCTTACTGGGGGATCAGGGAGAATGAAAGAAGAGAAGTGCTTAAATAAGAAATCTATAAGGAAAAAGAATGTGAAAAGAAAGAAAAGGATCCAGACCAATTTCAGGAGTCTGTAGGGTAGAAAAACACAACACAAAGAAGGAGAAAAGACCACTGGATGTTTGAAGGTTATAAAAGGGTTGGCCTGGACCCTTTGAGGAAGAAATAATTTCTCATGGTGTTCAGGGATGGTAAGGAGGATGAACAGATTCAACACGGAGAGAAGACACATGGTATGGGGCACAGGAGGAAGATATATGATCATTGGTGTTTTCCTGCTGAGAGATAGCACAAAAGCCATATGTTGCCCTGATAACATACATACTGTCTTCCCAGAGTGTTTAAAGGGGATGTGACAGAGCTTCCAGAAATTTGTCAAATATAATCTCACTCCCCTTCCCAAAATACCTATTTCTGGTGACTCACTGAAGGGATAAAGTATTCCTCCAAAAGGAATTTAGAAAACATTTTTTATGGATTATGAAGCTTCGAGCATAAAATGAAGCCTAAAGGTCATGGCGTGCCTTTAGCATTAGCTCTGCTGCTGACTGCAGGTACGGGCTTCGGAAGAGGAAGTCAGGTATCAAAATTAATAGCTAGTTAAGAAGATGGTGTCAGAGAACAGCATTCAGGTTGCTGGGCCAAAAACTAAAAGACAGGAATGAAGGACTCTTGGTCAGGAATAATGCATTTAACAAAGATCAGGAAAAGTACTTTTCTACTGTGTGGAGAAAGTAATTTTGTATGCTCTACATTGGATGAAGAGGATTCGCAGATTCTGTCAGAAGAGAGGATAACTAATATTTGGGCTTCCTTCTCACCCTAACTCACTTCCTAACCTCTTACAATTCGGCTTTCATCCCTACCACTCCAATGAAACTGAGCTCTTCTAGGTTACCAAAAATCCTGGCCTCTCTGCAGTGTCTGACAGAATTCACTGCCCATTTTCTTTCTCACTAACAGCAAATCTAAACAAGAACGAGCAATATGGGTATATGTCTTTGGGATTCCCCCCTCCCCCAATTCACATAGGGCACATTAGGCTTACTTTCTCTGATGCTGTTTCTGCAGAGCAGCCTCTGAGAGCTGTCCCTGAAGGATCAGTCGTCTCTGCTTGTCAACATCTCCCTCCATTCGAGCAAAAGCGTGAGACCCAATGAAGGAGAGATCAGTGCCCAAGCCCTCATCTTCCTCTTCTAGGTTGTCTGTAACAGCAATGTTTGCATTGATAAAATGATCGGGACAGAAACAAGGCTAAAAGCAAAGAAGGACTTTTTCAAACCAGTATACCTGTGTGATAAAATATATTTTTAAAGCTCTGACCCAATTATGGAGCCAAAGTTATTTGTACTGAGAATTTTAATTTAAAAAGAATGCAAAATTGACAATTTGCTCCTTAATATAGCTCTGAGGCATATGGTAATCCTATTTAATATAGCTTCCAGATGACAACAATCATGCAATCTGTTCGTGACACCGGTCTAAGTCACAAAGATAGATATAATGAAGAAGTACGAATTTTCTGTTGGGTACAAAGCTTACTGTGACACTATAAGTCAGCCTCTCAGAGGTGAAAGAAGTCTTTCTGATTCAATTCTAGTTCTTCATTGATTCATAGATAACAGATGTTCCCAAGGTAGAGCTAAGCGTTCAACTCACCGTCCAGAGCACCTGGTTTTTCGCTTATCCTGATCTGTCGCTCTGGTACTACTGGTTCCCCTTCAGCATTTCCAATATCTGCAGGAAGGTAGGGTAAAGACTGGCCTTCTTCCTTTAATGACCTTGGAAAATATAAAGGAAGTAGCTTTCTGTAGGTGGCCTGTGAACAGGAAGGAAAGTAGTTTGTGAAAATAAGTAATTTCTTCAAAGCAGACATGGGCAATGTTTTCATTCACTATGTCTAGCCAATTAAGGTGGAAAGTAGTGGGGAAGACTAACACACATAAGCATATTCATGAGTCCGCACATTAACATATGTACATATTTTGTGTGCGTGTGTACTGTGTATGAATATTTATTTCTATTTGTATCTATAAATTCTATAGCAGGGACCTGAAACAAACTGATCATGAAGTAAAAGTGATAATTAGTTATGCTAATCTGCTGAACTTTGAACTGATCCAAAATCAAATACTAATTTTTTTAATTTAATTCTGAATGATACTATAATTAAATTAAAAAAAAGTAATAAACCAGTTCAAACTGAAAGTGAACTGATTCATTTTCTAAAAGCATTGAGCTAAAATGTCAAAATGTTACCCAGTCAGAATTTCATTCAGTTTCAATAGGTGTTTTGTAGTCCTATTCAGTGGGCAAAAGTAAGTGTTAAATATTAAGACATTCAGGATGCATCTCTTTCAGTACTCCAAATTCATTTTAATAAGACAAACACAATCACAAGACAATTGCTTATTTCTTAAGAGTTCTGACCACATGATATAATTAGTAAAATACCTCTTCAAGCTCAGAGACAGCAAATACTACTTTTTCAATGGTCTCCCCATGAATTTCTAGGAATCTTCTCACTGTGCCTATGGGAAAGAATTAGAAAGACTATACTAAGCAAGAAACCATAATGTGGAAAGAGAAGTCAACCCTAAAAAAGGTTATAGTCTGTTATACAGTTTATATATATACTTATATTCCACACATGGCTTAATCATGGGCCTCCCCTAAAGAGAAGAATTCTGGAGCTACCAAAAATGCTCAGGGTCAACTGCAGGAGTTCCTGCTTATCCAATTAGTGGTATTCCTAAAGAACTCAACAATCAGGGGGGTGGCCCAAAACTCTGAGTGTTGTTTTAAGCTATTAAAGCTTCATGAAGAATGAAACTAAAGGTCTTTGTGAGTAGCAAATGATAAAATTTCTTTTTAAAAAAACTATAAAGGGAAAATGGTGGTAAAAATATATTACAGTATAAAATTGCATTAACACTTTTGGGACATCCTACAGAGCACTGTCCACTGTACTTCACACACTCCCCCCTTAATATCGTCTCTACATCAATCAAACCAGACTGTCACTTGTTCTCTGTCCACACAAATCTCTTTCCTTTGTGCCTCTGCACAAGCGGCCACTTGTGACTAGCATGAATTCCCTGCTTACTTCTCTGCCTCACAGAATCCAATTTTTTTCAGAGGACAGGTAAGTTGCCATAACTCATGTGAGCTCTTTCCTGACACGCCTTCATACTTACACCCACACCTCTGCTTCCAGCTGTTAAGACTTCTTTTCTCCTTAAAATTACTTCCTATAATTTAAAGATAATTTTCACTTATGTGCTGGTACATATTGTACCCCGCAGGTACAAAGAAAGCTCCTTGAAGGCAGGGACTCTATTGTTTTTCTCTTTGTATCATGAGCACCCAGCATAGTGCTTATATATTGTAGGGACCTAAAAAAAATGTTTTTGGAGGAGGAAGCGCCGAGATGGTGGAGTAAAGGCAGGGACTTGCCTGAGCTTTCCCAAATTTCCCTACAAACGCTTTTAAAATAGCACCTCCAAACAAATCCTGGAGCAGTGAGAAGCAACAAAAGGATGGGGCAAAACAATTTTCCAGTCCAAGACAACTTATAAGGTCTGAAGGAGAGGTCCGTCTCACTGGGGTGAGAGTGGAGTGCAGTCCAGTGTAGGCCATGCCCCAGCAAGCCAGCAGTAGGCCTTAGCGGTGACTACACTGGGGGATCTCTTAGCCCACAGATGGTAAGAGTTTCAGACAACTGGTCAGAAGGAGATTACAGGGGTCCCTTTGCTGGCACTGGGGGCAAGACTCTGCTGCAATGCCCATATGTGGTTCTGGGTTGCAGTCTCTGGGTGGAGAGGAGTACTAGCAGGAATAGGGACCCTGTTCACAGTCTCAGGAGGTAAAAGAGTGTCTGTGGTCACTCACAGACCAGTGGACAGGCCAGGAGAGCAGTGACCACACTGCTCCTTAGATCCTACCACCTTGGAAGAACTGAGAACTCACTGACCCCCAGAACTAACCCTGAAAACAGCAGCACAAAAAACCTGGAGTTTGGGGTAATCTCCTCCCCCCAACCTGAGTACAGCCCAATTTTAATGTAAAATTACAAGTCAAGAAATAAGCTGGAAAAATGAGCAAACAATAGCAACAAAAAAAGAACCTGACCATAGAAAGTTGCTGTGGCAACAGAGAAGATCAAAACAAAAAATTAGAAGAAGACAACGATGTCAAAGCAACTACATACAAAGCTTCAAAGAAAAAATGTAAACTGGTCTCAGGCCTAGAAAGAATTACTGGAAGAGCTCAAAAAGGATTTTAAAAATCAAATAAGCAAGGCAGAGGAAAAAATTGGGAAAGGAAATAAGAGTAATGCAAGAAAATCATGAAAAAAGAGTCAACAGCTTGGTAAAATTTGATAAACCCAAAGACTCCAGCTTCTGGGATAAGAACTCACTATTTGACAAAAACTGCTGGGAAAACTGGAAAAGAGTATGGCAGAAACTAGGCACAGACCAACATCTTTCACCATATGCTAAAATAAAGCCAAAACAGATACACAATTTAGATGTAAAGGCTGATATTATAAGCAAACTGGGAGAGCAATGAATAGTTTACCTGTCAGATTTAGAATTTATTACCAAACAAGAGACAGAGAACATTACGAAATGCAAAATGGGTAATTTTGATTACATTAAGTTGGAAAGTTTTTGCACAAACAAAGGCAATGCAACCAAGATTAGGAGGGAAGCAGAAAAATGGGAAAGAATTTTTACAACCAGTGTCTCTGATAAGGACCTCATTTCTAAAATACATAGAGAACTGGGTCAAATTTATAAGAATACAAGTCATTCCCCAATTGATAAATGGTCAAAGGACATGAACAAGCAGTTTTTAGATGAAGAAATTAAAGCCATCTATAGTCACATGAAAACATGCTCTAAATCACTATTGATTAGAGAAATGCAAATCAAAACAACTCTGTGGTACCACATCACACCTATCAGATTGGCCAACATGACAAAACAGGAAAATGATAAATGCTGGAGAAGATGTAGGAAAATTCAAACATTAATGCATTGTTGGTGGAGTTGTGAACTGATCCAACCATTCTGGAAAACAATTTGGAACTATGCCCAAAGGGCTATAAAATTGTGCATATCCTTTGACCCAGTAATAGCACTTCTAGGACTGTATCCCAAAGGGATCATAAAAATGGGAAAAGGACCAAAAAATATTTATAGCAGCTCTTTCTGTGGTGGCAAAGAATTGGAAATTGAGAGGATGCCCATCAATTGGGGAATGGCTGAACAAATTGTGGCATATGAATGTAATGGAATACTATTGTGCTATAAGAAATGATAAGCAAGCAGACTTCAGAAAAACCTGGAAAGACTTGTATGGACTGATGCTGAGTGAAGTGAGCAGAACCAGGAGAACACCATACACAGTAACAGCCACGTTCTGCAATGACTAACATTGATGTTAACCGTTCTCAGCAATGCAAGGATCTAAGACATTTCCAAAGGTCTCCTGATGGAAAATGCTATCCACATCCAAAGAAAGAACTATGGAGTTTGAATGCAGATCGAAGCATGCTATTTGCTCTTTTTTTTCTTCTGTTTCATTTGTTTCTGCTTTCTTGTGGTTCCTCCTATTGGTTATAACTCTTCTTTACATAACATGACTAATGTGAAAATATGTTTAATGGGAATGTATATGCAGAGCCTATATCAGATTGCATGCCATCTTGGAGAAGGAGGGGAGAAGGGAGGGGAAGATAATTTAAAACTCAAAAGCTTATGGAAATGAATGTTGAAAAAAATTTTTTAAAAAAGTAGAATTGGCTAAATGAAAGGAGAGGTGCAAAAGCTCACTGAAGAAAAGAATTCATTAAAAATTAGAATGGGACAAGTGGAAGCTAATAACTCCATGAGACATCAAGAAATAATATAACAAACTCTAAAGAATTAAAAAATAGAAGAAAATGTAAACTACCTCATTTAAAAAAAAGATTGAAAAAGACTGGAAAAAAGATTGAAGAGAAATAATTTAAGAATTATTAGAGTACTGGAAAGCCACGATCAAAAAAAAAAGTATAAAGGTTGTCTTTCAAGAAATTATCAAGGAAAACTGCCCTGATATCCTAAAAACAGAAGGTAAAACAGAAATTAAAAGAATCCACTCATCACCTAGTGAAAAAGATCACAAAATGAAAAGTCCCAGGAATATTATAGCCAAATTCCAGTGCTTCCAGGTCAAGGAGAAAATATTGCAAGCAGCCACAAAGAAACAATTCAAATACTGTGAAACTACAATCAGTATAACACAAAATTTAGCAGCTTCTCCGTTAAAGGATCAGAAGGCTTGGAATATGATATTCCGGAGAGCAAAGGAACTAAAATTACAACCAAAAATCACATACACAACAAAACTCAGTATAATATTTTTGGGGGGGGGGAATGGATAGTTAATGAAATAGAATCCTTTGAAGTATTCTTGATGAAAAGATCAGAGCTGAATAGAAAATATGACTTTCAAATAAAGACTTAAGAAAAGCATAAAAAGGTAAACAGGAAAGAGAACTCATAAGAGATTCAATAAGGTTAAACTGTTTACATTGCTACATGGGAAGATGATACTTGTAACTCCTATGAGCTTTCTCATTATTAGGGCAATTAGAAGGAGTATAACAGACACAGGGCATGGGTGTGAGACGACTATGATGGGATAATATCCAAAAACAAATAAATAAAGGGATGAGAAAGAGGGCTGCATTGAGAGAAGGGGTCAAAGAACAAATCATAGAAACAATCAGTAATTTCATTAAACAGAGTGACACCAATGAGACAACATACCAAAATTTATAGGATGCAATCAAAGCAGTACTATGTGGAAATTTTATATCTCGAAATGCTTACATCAATAAAACTGAGAAAGAACAGATTAATGAAGTGGACATGAAACTGAAAAAAAAAATTTTAAATATCCATTTAAACAATGAATTGGAAATCCTGAAAAATTAAAGGAGAGATTAATAAAATTGAAAATAAGAAAACCATTGAACTAATAAAACTAGGAGATGGTTTTATGGGAAAAAAAACCAGATAAAACCATTGATTAATTTGATTTGGGGAAAAAAAAAGCAAAGAAAGAAGAAAACCAAATTACCAGTATCAAAAATGAAAGAGGTGAGTTTACCACCAATGAAGATGAAATTAAAGCAATTATTAAGAATTACTTTGTCCAATTACAGGCTAATAAGTCTGACAATCTAAGTGAAATGGATGAATATTTACAAAAATATAAATTTCCCAGATTAACAGAAGAGGAAATAGAATACTTAAATAACCCTATCTTAAAAAAAGAAATTGAACAAGCCAACAATTAGATCCCTAAGAGTCTCCAGGACCAAATACATTCACAAGTGAATTCTACCAAACATTTAAAGAACAATTAATTCCACTACTACATAAACTATTTAGAAAAACAGGCAAATGAGTCCTATCAAATTCCTTTTATGACACAAATATAGCGCTGATGCCTATAAGAGAAAGAGCAAAAAACA